GGAAAGGATTGGGTACGGTTTTCAAACAGACAACCAGAACTGTATCAGTTTCCTGCTGTTAAAGTTCATTTCTAACGAAGCGTCCTCAGATAAATCAAAAAGTTCTTCCTCAGCTTTTGTCGATATCCCACTCGTTATGTCAGCTGAAATGGGTTCATAATCCATTTTTTCTCTTGGATATTTTCCATTTTTTCAAGGAAATAAAACTCTCTTTCAGCTTATTCAAGTGTTCAGATATCTCAATGATTATATCATCATCAACTTTTGCTTCATTCTCCATTACAAAGGTTTGAAATGTTTCAAAACAGTCACAATTTCAGTTGTCAATACAGTTTTTCCATAGAACAAGTTTTTTCATGAAACCTCGAATTTTCTCATGAACTGCAAATATACTGATACCTTCTGCTCCTTGCAAGTACAAATTCAGTTCGTTTAGTTTTGAAAAAATATCTGCCAAATACGTGAGCCTCAGAACAAATTCCTCGTTGCGCAATTATCTCGCAAAATCGCTTTTACCTTCCAGAAATATAGCAACTTCTTCGCGGAGTTCTGTAAGTCTTGTTAGCACTTTACCCCTCGAGAGCCAACGTACTTCTGTGTGCAGAAGAAGTGATTTATGATTGCTTCCCATTTCTTAGCACAACTTCTCAAATAAGCGCGATTGCAATGGCTTTGACTTTATTAAGTTCACTATTTTAATGGAAGTGTTCAAAACATTTTTAAAATCATCAGATATACATTTGGATACTAACGCTGCTCTGTGAAGGTTGCAGTAAATCCATGATGCGTTTGGATTAAGTTCAAGTATTCTGGTCACCAGACCACTGCTTTTACCACACATAGCCCGTGCGCCGTCCGTACATATTCCGACACATTTATTCCAATCAAGACCTTTTGTTTTGACATAAGTATCGACACTCTTAAAAATATCATCGCGAGTACTTCGACTGACTGGTTCACAACACAACATATCTTCATGAGGTTCGAAGTTCCATATATAATGCACAAAAACAAGTAGCTGGCACAGACCTTGTACGTCAGTAGATTCATTTAGTTGTAAGGAGAAAATTGTACTTTCACGAACTCTTTGAATTAGCTGATTTTCTATTCATCGATCCTACGCGTGACTGTGTTATTAGAAATAGGAACTGTTCAATTTCTTGTTCACTCTTATCACCAAAGAAAACTTTAACTGTATCTTTTATAGCTGGAAGAACTAAAGTCTCTCCAATTGTATGTGGCTTACCAGCTTTCGCGATTCTCAAACTGATCAGGTAGGACACTACAAAGATTTTTCATTAACTTTGGTGTAACGTTGCATAACGCTCTGTCCTGTCTTCAACTTGCTTAGCATCCTTTCAAAAAACTCGTGGGGTTTGTCTTTCAACTCGGGATGCTTCGTCTCAATATGGCAACGCAATTGTTTGGGCGCATGCTCTCGTTTGCAAGTTGATCACAACAAATAATACATTATGGTCGTGGATCTTCTTCATCTCCATTCAATGTAAATCCCATTTCTAAGTACTTGGAATTATACTTTCTCACCACTTTTCTTCGTTTTGATTGACTTGGTTTTGATTGACCTG